TCATGTAATATAATGAAAAAGGTTGAAAAACAAAACGTAACAACTATTCAAGGGCCCCCTAAAACCTGCAGCTTAATTAAATCCCAATTGTTTTTTGTTCTTGTAATTTTACACAATAGTTGGGGAAAATGTGAATGTTTTCCCTGAGGGTGGCACTAGAATAATCTGTTTGTGCAATTTTACATTTAAACCTAAGGATGGTGCAAGAGGACAGCTCACGCGTGGGCTCATTGTCTTAGGAGCCTATACATGTTATGTACAGTAAAGGAACAATATACAATATATACACATGTTATTATATATACTGAATATGTCACACATATACATATTTTATATTATAAATATGTTGAATAACTATAGTAGTGATAATGTGCCACAAACAGACACAAAGCACACTCTTGATTTACTTGACCAGTCAGTCTAGTCCTGACCCATCACTGTTTTTTAGAGAAGCTTTATAAACATATTGCATATAAGCACTATTACTTGTTTCTGTTGCAGTGTTGTTAATTACTGGGAACCATTCAACTTTGACAAAAGCTGTCTCATCATAACAAAACTCCCCATTGATGCGTTTTAATTAATAGTTGAATAACAACACAGACAAAGTGTGTTAAGATAAGATAAGGAAAGTTAACCTTTATTGATGAAATTCAGGGGTTTGAGCAGCAACAGAAATAAGATGCTGATGATGATCAAATGGCATCATAGTGCAGGAGGAAAGGTGAAGGGGTCACCAAACACAGACAGCTCCATTTTCACCAGCCTCCTTCCCTTACTCCGCTAATGGGGCCAACGAGTAGTGCTGTGTCATTCATGCAAGATTGAATGTTTTGAGTGAATTAACTGAACTGAATCACTTCCTGAAACAATCTATTCATTTAGTTCAGCTGAGCTCTCAATCAGTTGCAGGCCATTGTGCAGGGATTCACTGAGGGGAGGGTTCAAGCCAATCATTAGCAAACGTTTGTCCCATCCAGCTAAATGTTCAGGTCACTCGCTTATCCTTTACGAACGATCACTCTCGGTTTCCAAATCCCTTTAATGAACAGTTTCTAGTGTTTCATTGGAAAAGTTGTCCAGTCATAACTAAAGAGTAGCTCCACTGTTTTAGGTCTGGCTACATATGCAATACATTTTATGTGCAGTAGAGGGCCCTAAAGAGACAGATATTCACTCAAAGTGAATCTACTCCACATGACTTCATTCATTCATTTGTCCCTCCAGTCTGGTTGAATGGGTGCTATGTTGTAGTGGGTTGGATTTTAAACCTGGACAATGTTCTAATCTATGCTTTAACAAGTGGGGGAAATCAAGTTTTGTACTGTTTGGCTTTGACCATTTTCAGGAACTTTACTTTAGTCCCATACATTTCAAAACTACACTCTGGCACATTACTTCTTATTTGTATTTCATATTTTATCATTTGTATATTTTTTTGACATATTACTTTAATTCCTATTTTTATATATATTTTTGCATATTTTATTGCACATATTTACTTCTTATGTTTATATAATATATTTATTTTATTTTTATTTTATTCTATTCTATTCATTTTAAAATAGAACAACTGTCAATCCCCCCCTGGGATTATTAAAATATTTCTGATTCTGAAACTCATTATTCTACATTTTACTCCATTCCATTTATGCGGCATCATTAGCTACTAGTTATTTTTCAGTGCCAGTGCCCCCGTAACACTGACCAGGGACCCCCCTGTGGCCCCCCTCCAAAAAAAAGGTTACAAATAATATTACGATTTATTGGAACTAAATAAAATCAGTTACCCGGATGTACAGTGGAGAGTAAACTGTTATATAAAAGCTAATACTGTTTATGTTTTTTAATTACATTGTCACTTAAAGTAACTAAAACAAATACTCTAAATGAGAAAAAAAAACTGAAACAAAGGACTGTAACTTAAATTGACTAAAACAAATAACTTTACAAAAACAAATACCAATTACTGTATTTTATGTTTATTTTACACATTTACTTTAAACTGTCTTTGTCTTTTTAACCCACTTTTATTGTGCCCCTCTCATGAAATAACTGGCCCCAGCCTGGCCCCCCCAGTAGAATTGGTCTAGAACTGCCACTGACTAAAATGTGATACTCTTACGTCAGTCCCATGTGAGGTGTGTGACATTGCTAGGCAACAGAGCAAGCCAAGTCATCTTAACTGAGCCACATGGGGAAGCCCAACTTTCAAATTCAAAACTCAGTGTTTTATGGTAGCTGGGAAAAAAATAGAAGGTTAAGGGATGCTATTCAGAGTGTATATTTAAATACCAGCTTCTTTGCCTTCAGTTTTTTTACTCCTTGAATTCAAATTAACTTTATTTATTAAGGCAGCTCCCTACTGTTGGACATTTGAGAGTTCATCACTGCTGTTTTTTCTGGTTCAGCATCATGGAGTGTATCTTAGTATGCGCTGTAACCCTGGTGATTTTAGTGGCCCATTGAAACAAAAAACCCCAAAGAAGAGTTCTCGGTTAGATCACAGAACACACACTGGTCCGGTATATAAAGCAGTGGTGAACTCTTTCTGGGAGTGCTTTCATGGCACCTTTAAATCAGTTGCTGTCCAAAGAGAGGAGTAAGGAAACAAATGGCACAAACACAAAATATATACACATATACATACACTTTTTCAACAAAGTAAATGTAGTGGTTGAATGTAACTAAGTACATTTACTCAAGTATTGTACCTAAGTACTTTCCTGACATATTTTTACTTTGCTTCAGTATTTCCATTTAAAGGGTTTTTGTACTTCTACCCCAGTACATTTTAGAGGCAAATATTCTACTTTTTGCTCCACTGCATTTATTTTTACATTCACCCATTTTTTGTGTACATATAAAAACGCATGCTATGCTGATATGGTATAATGCAGTAATAATAATAATAATAATAATAATAATAATAATAATAGATTTATTTTGTTAGCGCTTTTACAGGTGCTCAAAGACGCTTTACAGATATAGTGAAAAGAAAAGAAAAGAAAAGAACAACAAATAAATATATATAGTTAAAGTCAAATAAAAATCAAGCAATACAAAAACAATCACACATTAAAAGCCAGATTGAAGAGGTGAGTACTAATCTACACAGTATCTACATTTGGTCCAAATTGAACAACTACTATACTAAAATGCTCAAAAACAGGATAATTTAATAACCATAATGATATAATACTGCGAAAAGATCCATTCTGCATAACCAGTACTTTCACTGTTGATACTTGAAGTACATTTAGTTGATAATACTCCTGTACTTTATATTATTCTTACATGTGTCATTGTGCAGAATGAGTACGATTAGTTGTTGTACTTTAAGTATATTTTGATGCCATTACTTTTGTATTTTAACCCTCCTGTTGTCTTCGGGTCAAATCTGACCGATTTACTACTTTCATCAATCATAACTTTTTTGTTTTACATTCGATTGCATTAAGGCTTTATGATATCCTTCACAGTAGACATTTGAACATATACAATTGCTGATCACCACTTTCATTGCATTTTGGATGATTTAGTCAACTTTGCAACACCCATGGTGTTCCCGGTCAAAAATGACCGCCATAAAGAAAAGGAATTAGTAACCATCCGGATCAGATAAAACACACACACACACACACACACACCCACACACACACACACACACACACACACACACACACACACACACACACACACACACACACACACACACACACACACACACACACACACACACACACACACACACACACACACACACACACACACACACACACACACACACACACACACTCTAGATGTGTTCCCCCCCCTTATGTGCCCAATCCCCCCATGTGAATCACACCTGGCACACACAATACATGTTCATTGTCTGTTCTTTGTATATTTACTGCAGTTTTTCATGTATACCATTAGTCTGATACAATATGTACAGTTTGAAAGGGTGTTAAATGAAATGTGGTGATGATTAATGGTTTTTGTGTTAATGTAATAGCAGTTAAAACAGGACCGGTCAAATTTGACGTAGGGGGGGGGGAAACGAAGACAATAGGAGGGTTAACTTAAGTAGAATTTTGAAATCACAACTTTTACTTGTAGTGGAATATTTTCAGACCATAGTATTTGTACTTTTGCTTAAGTAATAATAATAATAATAATAATAATAAATGGAATTTATAAAGCGCCTTTCGAGGGACCCAAGGTCGCTGTACATGGTGGACAGACAAAACAAAACAGACAATGGGGAGCAAACAAAACAAGTAAGTAAGTAAGTAAAGGATCTGACTACTTCTTCCAACACGGGTTAAATGCCACATATTGATATATAGACCATAAGCAAGTTTCTATTTTTTAACACAAGGAACCTTTTTTTAAAACCGTTTAAAATGCTAAAGCAAATCTAAACAATCCTTAATGAAAGATTTTCTCAGCTGATGAGTGAAGTGATCACTGATAGTAATTGTTTTTCCATCGGCAAGAATCAATACAATAGTCAATGCTCATGAAAAAAAAACGTGTTCAGAGCCAATGAGTGGTTGCTGTGGCAGTCACATGCACTATTTGTTGACCACCTTATATAACCTTATTATCCTTTAATTACCTTTAGATATTTCTCAATAATAATGTCCCGAAGAGTGATAATCACATTGGTATTTCACTGTTACTCTGGTAGTAATTGTAAGTCTGTGAACATTTGTGGAATTCAATGAGGTATTATGTAATACTAAGACTGTTGAATAGAGAGCTCATTACTGATGGGCAGCCTTTTTAGTTGTTGTTTTATGTAAATATATTCTTAGAAAGGATACACAGTGTGGGTATTTCTTCCTGCCGTGTGTTGCGTGCTTTGTGGTAGCAGCATGAGTTTATGTCGAGTTGTGTTAGTGCAGAGCTGTGTTGCCAGGGCCGTGTCACACATGGAGTCACCACGAGAGGGAGGGACTTAGGCTGCAGGACAATGCTGGTGTTTGTGCAACGGCCCCTGAGTGGCGGCTGGCTCTCTCAGATCGCTCTCGCTTGACTACCATTGCTGCAAGCATTGTTGAAGTGAAAGGAAAGTGGACAGCTTGATCCTGTCTGTGGGATGCACCGGCAGAGGTAAGACCCCCATTCCCCCACTGCTTTATCCCTATTATGGAAGAATATGATTTTATTTTATGAAAGCTGTTTTGTGAGGATTTGTGCTGTATGTGAACTGTGCGAGCCAGTGCAGTTTTTCGGGGGGGAACTGAGGTCTGGGAGCTCTAGGTTTGGCTTGGGGTGAGGCACCCTTGTCTGTGCTTTGGCATGGTCACTACTGTGGGTGAATGCAGCTGAGCTGAAAGAAAGTTTCACAGAAAGAGGCTCAGTGAAAGGCATGTGTAGAATGTGACTAGGATTCCGCAATGGAAAAGACAGAGTAAAAAGGAAATATATATATTTGGAGATGAATTATACAATTCAGGATGAGACGATGACCAAGGGGAATTGATTGCTTCCTTTACTCTCAGAGGAGAGGAGAGTGGGGGATAGAGTGAAGGTTAACAGTGGTAAAAATAGAGGCAGAATGGTGGTGGAGAGATTAAGAGAGAGATTAATTAGGGAGCTGAGGGAAGGGGGAAGTCAGGAGAGGAAAAAGGCAGAAAAAGAAAGGAAGAAACAGGCAAACATTGTAAAGAAAAGCAAGAGCTGTGAACCCAAGATAAGGCTTCAACATCATTTTTTATTATCTGAGATTATCTTAAGGCTGCAAACTATTGTACTTACTTACTGTTATAGAACAACTACAGAAAAGAAACTAGTCAAACAAATCTTCCCACTTCCATTCAAATCCAGTCTTTTGTTAAATACTGGATTCCAAATGTGGTAAAAGAATACCGGTAAGCCTCTCATTTTCAGGTCTCCTTTGCTAGATCAAATCCCTTTTAGCTGGCAGATTAGAGAGACTCAAGATGTCCTGTGATGTCCAGTGTGTTGGTCCTGGGATATTCCACTTTTCACATTTATGAGTCTGGATTTGCCTGGCTCTTATGGTTAATGTTAGGTGTGTCAACCCTCCACCACAAAGATACACTTATATGGCCTTGAATGCCTTCACAAAGCATCATTTAGAATAGAGGAATATTGGTCCTTATTTGTACTCTTTGAAATCATTCAAACCACATCAAACTGTGTGTGTTTTTGTGTTTCCAGGCAGTGGGAGAGACATTTGGTTTTGGTGTAATATACAACAAAGCAGGAAAGCTGGCCAGGAGATCAAACATCAGTGATTTTGCCATAAAAAACAAAAATCCTCCACTCCTGCTGTACCAAGGAGGAGAAGAAGAAGGTGGCCAATTGCTGCCGCATTAACAGAAGCAGTGATCAGCTTTTGTGGCGTGGGTGGGCAGGTGAGCTTTGAGCTGTGGTGACAACTTTGGTTCTCTGCGCTAAAGTGTGGGAGGGAAGAGGAAGAGGAAAGGGAAGACGAATAGGAGGGGTACGTGGAGGAGGAGGAGGAGGAAGAGGAGGAGGAGGAGAGGAGGAGTAGTGGGCCTGGAGCCCAAACACAAGCAGGATGGCGGAGAAGCAAGTTAGGTAAGTAAGTTTAACGTGTTTGTTTAGACTAATGACTACAGATCAAATTGTATTCACTAAGTGGAAGCAGCTGCTGGATTTAGCGTTTACACTCTTTGTGTGTGTGTGTGTGTGTGTGTGTGTGTGTGTGTGTGTGTGTGTGTGTGTGTGTGTGTGTGTGTGTGTGTGTGTGTATTTTGTATCTTGGTCCATGAATGGATGTGTTTGCGTGGCGTTGTGTGGGCGACTGCATTTACGTGGGTGCGTGCATGCGTGTGTCTGTGTTGATCCTTTAGCAGCCTCCCTGCTAAGCTGATTAATGGGGGCGTGGCAGGCCTGGTTGGTGTGACATGTGTGTTTCCTATTGACCTGGCCAAGACCCGCCTGCAGAACCAGCAGGGCGTCCAAGTCTACGAAGGAATGTGAGTAGGGCTCCCCTCACCCGAGTTAACCCCAATACTGTAAATGATCTGCCACACACTTGCAAATATAGAGTTTTAAATGCTTTTTTATGTTTTAGCATCCCTGAACAATACAACACAAGCCTCTAAATTAAACTTTGAGTCAGGGAATTGCAAAAGACACCTAGACATCTTTCTTCTGCATATCTAACTTTCTAAACTGTAAAAAAAATGCTGAGGCGGAAGAAATACTCAGTTTAAAGTAAGTGCTTACTGTGCCTAATGTCCTGTTTTAAATTGAAATATATTAAATGACTGGATTACAATTATTCATGCATTAATGTGTTCATCAAAGTTAGTAAAGGTGGAGCTAATTTAATGACTTTGTATACTGCTGCTCCATACCTCAACCTATACTTTTATGTCATAGTTTTTGTATTAGTTTATGTATACTATGTATTAGCTTATAATGTGAATATGTAAAATAACTAGTAACTCATTTTGTTGAATAACTGTAGTAGAGTAAAAAGTAAAATATTGCCTCCAAAAATGTAGTGGAGTTGAAGTATGAAGTAGCATAAAATGGAAATACTTCAGGAAAGTACAAGTACCCCAAAATCGTATCTAAGTACAGTACTTGAGTCAATGTACTTCAATACTTTATACCACTGAAGCTGACCCACATACTTTCCCAATGAGTCTCAGAGGGTGGAGCAGAACAAATAAACACTGACATCCCATCTTTGAACGCTGTTTTTGTGAGTTTGTGCAAAATCACTCATATCAGAGGAATGACTGTGTATTTTCGGTTGCTATAGTAACTTAAACAAAACCAGATCTATTTTGAGGAAGTTTTAATCTGACACGAATTCAAGATTTACAGAATAAAAGACTTCTCCTTAAAAGACCCTTCATTTGTAACTGCGCACATCTGTTGGGCATCGTTCTGATTGGGTGTGGCCATCCTGTGTTAACCAGCACTTTTTAAACTGTAGTTTTCAGCTGTGAGTCAGAGATGGAAATTAGATTCCACAGAGCTGCTCCTACAGTTCTGTACGAGCAGTTCAGGGGTTTTGCTAGGGGAACTTGGACGCATTCATAATCAGTATTTGTAACATCTTGGTTAAAGTGTAGGTCATTATTCCAAGTTTTTTTTGTGGATATTTTCCATATGAAACTTGACAGCAGCCTTGTATGTATCTATAATTATATGTATTTTTATTTGCAGCTACTTCATTGTTCAATCAACACACATTATGGTATTATAAGCTAAATTACCAAATAGTGTAGTAAAGTCACCTTTACCAAGTCTAACATTGAAGTACATACATGTAGCAATAAATGCAATACAATAATTGAAGTTAAATAATAAAAAAAAAGAAGTGGCAATTTTTGGAATATGGAATATTTGGGATTTTTTTTTCTAATTAGATAACTTTTATAATGGCCATATATCTCCATCCATAATACTACATTAAAGTGTATTAGTAGATTGCATTTTTGTAATAATATTATAAACCTGCAAAAGTAACTAGTATCTAATGCTTTCAAATAAATGTAGTGAGTAAAAAGTACAATATTTGCTGCCAAGTAGAGTAGAAGTATAATGAAAATATTATAAGTAAAGTACATGTACCTCACAAATGTACTTAAGTCCAATACTCACAAATGCACATAGTTACTTTCAACCAGTGATTATAAAATATATGATTCTGTTTTGTTTATTGTTTATTCACTGAGAAACAGACAAAATGTCAATCGCCTTGTTTTTGTCTTCTAAGGCTGGACTGCTTGTCAAAGACGGTGCGCTCGGAGGGCTATTTTGGATGCTACAGAGGTATTTTTTGAATTTCTAATCCCTGAGACAAACAACCCTACAACTGTGCTTTAAATGACTGAGCTTAAACTGGCATCCTACGCTGTTGTTGGTCCTGTGAGCATCTGTTCAGCGGTTAGACCTGAGCCGTAAGCTCTTGTGTAGGGTTGGTTCTATTTGTGTACCTGAGTGGAATCTGTTGTGTGTCACTGACATCTGCGTGTTTGTCTCTTCCAGGTGCTGCGGTGAACCTCACCTTGGTCACACCAGAGAAAGCCATCAAGCTGGCTGCCAATGACGTCTTCAGGCAGAAGCTTTCTAGAGATGGGTACATTGATTATTGACCATCAATGATACAACATAATGAAGCTACATGAAAAAGCATTCCAACCAACTTTGCACTAGATACTGTTTTCTTTAAATAAATACAAAATGATCATGGTCTTACATAGGGTTATGGTGATATTGGCGAAAAACAATTATATTGATATAGCGTTTATTAAAGTGAGTTATCTTGGTCAAGATAATCTTGTAGCGTTCATTTAAAATTGTGACAGCCCATTTCTTACACATTTTTTATGTCGGTAAAATGTGTTTGTTAATCTTGTTTTAAGCATTTAAGTCTAAGGCCTTAGACTTATAAATGAAATTTGCAAAAAAGAGAAGGAAAAAAGGGGTTAGGGTTACAGCATATCTATAATGTCACTATTTTATGTTTTCCAGGCATCTGCCCCTGTGGGGGGAGGTACTGGCAGGCTGTGGGGCTGGGACCTGTCAGGTGGTCGTCACCACTCCCATGGAGATGCTTAAGATCCAGCTGCAGGATGCAGGAAGGCTTGGTGAGTCACTGGAGTTAATGTTTTCTCTTCATGTGTTCTTTCATGGTACAAATACCAAAAGGCAGTGTGTCATCGTTGATGTAAGCGCAAAAGGCTGCACATCATCTGGAAAGTAAATCTAAGAAATGACATTTACCTGCATGTGCTTTCTAACCAGTTTTTTTTCTGTTTTTGACAATCAGCTGCCCAGAGACCTGTCCCAACTCCAGCTCAGGCTGCTGCCCCTGGTGCAGCACCAACATTGGTCGCCCCCCCGCCAGCGCGGCCGAGCCCTCCACCTCGGGCCTCGGCCATGGGCATCACTGCGGAGCTGCTAAAGACTAAAGGACTGGCAGGACTCTACAGGGGGGCAGGAGCCACCTTAATGAGGTATACAGATATGTAAACATACACTACCAGACTCAATACAGAATATTTGTTTACTTTTTGTTCTTTAAATGTACATGCATGTATGCAGATTTCTGTTCAGATGCCTAAAATCAGGTCGGTGTTAAACCCAGGTTTAAGAGATGTTTATTCTTGATTCAGATTCTTGTGTGCTACGGCTTGGACTGTACTTTGTTTCAACCCAATCATCACTGCTTTAGTGTAGCGAGTCGATTGTTCATTGCATAACTTACACTGCGTTTGTCGTATTTCCTGGCCCCTCCGCCAATCAACTCTAATGAATCAATGGATGCCTGCAGCTATGTCTGGCTGCTGTAGGCCTACTGCGGTTGAATGGAGCCATTTCTCTCTTTCAGCTTTTCTACTCTACCTCTTTGTTTTTAGTTCATCCCATGTTTATCTCTTTCAGAGATGTCCCTTTCTCAATGATCTACTTCCCGCTGTTTGCCAACCTAAACGCGCTGGGCCGTGAAAAACTGGGTGATGTGCAGGCCCGGGCGCCATTCTGGCAGTCGTTTATGGCAGGCTGCGGCGCAGGCTCTGTGGCAGCTGTGGCTGTTACACCACTGGATGGTGAGTGGCAGAATGAAACCACCTCTGCTATTCACAAAGATGACATCAACAGTCGTAATTGCAATGCTTGATTGAAATATGGTAAAGTACAGAGATGGGCCAAGTCATTGTTCCCAAATAGTCCCAAGTAAGACTCAAGTATTTTGCATTCAAGTACCAAGTCACGTAACAAGCCCTACATTTCTAGTTCAGAGTCCTAGAAAAGTAAAGATCCGCTCTTCACCAAATCTAAAGTCATTTTTGCAATAATCGGTTTTGTATACTGTAATTCGTTTAGTTTTTTTGTTTACCACTGTATAGCACCTTGTACTCAAACTTAATTTTCTGTGGTATACTTTTTCTCAACAATTGCTCAATAACGTACTTTAAGTTCTCTGTGCTTCTTTCCTACAACTTAATTGGAAGCTGTGACATTGGTTCAAAAAGGAGATCTAGGGAATTAAGTGTCGACTTTATAGGGAATGGATACTGTTAACATTTGTTCATTCAGGAAATTAACAGAAATTCATTGTACACTTTTTAAATATCATACTTTTAAATCTTCTCTGAAATCAAAGTAAAGCCACAAGTCATTGGTGTTAAAGTCTAAGTTGCAAGACTTTTTTTTTTATTTGGTCAAGTTCGCGATGTAACTTTTAAAAGATAAAAATACAAAATACAAAATACAAATAATAACACACAAAGGTATAGATAAACAGCCTCACTTGTTTCAGTATGACCAGAAGCTATGGTTGCTAAGGCTAGCTAATGTTAGCAAACTATAAATCGTTATTGGCCGTGTCTGAAGACACTTTGGCATCATTTATCATCAATGCCAGCTGCACTTACACTATGGTCATTTTTAAATATTAAAAAATGTTAGTTAGGGAGTGAATATGAGAATTCTGACCTCTTAAATGTGGTTATCATTACACTACATGTGTGCATTATTTACAATTTGTAATTTTTTGGCCCCATCCTGCTATACCTGACGTCTTTGATTTGACTGTACTTCTGTGTTTTTATTGTTTACAGTCATCAAGACTCGTCTGCAGACCTTGCAAAAAGGGGCGGGCGAGGACACGTACAAAGGAATTGTTGACTGCACGCAGTAAGATTTGAGTCTTTAACTAAACATATTTTGCCTTAATATTCATGAGTGTAGGAGCCTTGTAGCATTTTTCTTTCATTCATCCGGTCCTCTTGTCTGTGTACTTTTCCAGGCGCATCATGATGCGGGAGGGCCCATCAGCATTCCTGAAGGGTGCAACATGTCGTGCTTTGGTCATCGCTCCCCTGTTTGGCATTGCGCAGGGTGTCTACTTTCTCGGGGTAGGGGAGACGCTGCTAGATTTGCTGGGATAGCATTGCTTGGCATTGGATGTGGAGGTTTTTGTTGTCTCTGCGACAAATGAATGACACAACTGAGTGAAAGGTGAATACAGAAAGAGGGAAAATACGGCCACCATCTGCTAACCAAAGGACGAGGAATGGTCTACAATATGAAGAGGCTCTTTTTACTAATATGTGGACCCAAGGGTTCACTCTAATCATGTTTCTCTAGGATCATACATGCTGTCAAAGGGGTTCCGTGGTTAAACAGGGACCTGTGTATGTGTGTGACTAATCTGAGGGTATGTGTCCCAAAGTATTGGGGTTTATCCCCGTGTTCTTGCCGCAATATGTCTGGAGCTGTTCCTTTCACCTGAGAGAGATTATTCTGTCGGGATAAGAGGCTGCTGCATGTTGTTCGAGGCTGCTAACTTAATTGCCTACTAATCTGATCGTTTATAAAGGTCAGGACGGAGAATGCATTCTATGCAAGTGACAATTCTCATTTCAATCTTTATCAAGTCATGACGGTTTGTTGTCAGTGGCTAATTTGACGTTAAATGCCAATCATGTGTTTTCTCTGGAAATGGAGCTTAATCTCCTTCAGCCTAGCTTGTTACGCGTCCCTCACACTCCATTTTGTATTCCCTCAGTGGATTGGGAGGTGCTGGCTGCCAGAAACACTAAGGTCATTTGTTAATCTGATGGTAATGCTTTAATCCCGTGCATTAGCGTACAATATACCCCTAACTCACCTGCCTAAAGGTCACAGGTTAGACTGCCACTGTCTCGTATAGCCTTCTTCTTCTCTACACAGTGTGGAAGTAGGGTTGCAACGGTCTCATGGTTTACAGTTGTATGAAAAGTGACGGTTATTATGCAAGGTGCATTTGCTTATCTACAGTGTCAAGGAAACAAACTGACGATAGGGTGAGCAAAATGTAAAGACAGGGGCAGCCTGACTGTGCTTTCGCTCACCTACAATGCTAAATTGTTTATTATAATAACAATAGGACATATATTTTATAAGCAAACAGATGATGCTATCTTTTATTTGGTAGTTGCTTTAACATGCTATAGTGCAGCTAACATGCTTTAGAAAACATAGTAATATGCTATTTTTGTTAAAAAGTTCGTAATTCCGTTTATCGTTATAAATCTGTACTGTAACTGATGATTACAATAATAATAATATGATTGTGTTACACTATGATTTTTTTTTTCATTTCTATACCGTTGCAACCCTACTAGAAAGGATTTAAATAAAACATGCAAGAAACCTGGAGCTCATTTTGCTACACGTTAAAATACATTGCTTCAAATAACGTGTACACAAACACTAAAATAAAATGCAATTAAAGCCTTATCACTGCTGTACGTTTCTAAAGCATCAGAACTGTAAGTCTTAAATGGATTCGGTGGAATTGGTGGTGCTGAAACATTGATTTGGTCCAATTTAGCGAGGACAATTCTTTCTGTTAGACCCACTGAGGGAGTATGGCACGTTGTGTTGCCACTGGGTGGCACTAAAAGCTTTTTCCTTTTTTTTTTTTTTACATTTTTAATGCAAGGCACAATTTGATATCGCTAGTGTACCTAGGCTACTACATCTTCCTCATTGTAGAGTGAACTTTGCCTGAGTCAAATGTTTGTTTACAAGCTGTAAATAAAGATATCTCATACATGCGGATTACTTTGTGTCAAATACATTTATTTATTTGTTTTTTTTCTTATGTTAAATGCTTCACAACTTTGGTAAACAGCCTTTTTGCTGACCGTGTATAGAGTGGCGAAGTCCCTCCCCTTCCAGTTGAGCTCCATGAGACCTTATTTCGGAAAAATTATGTATTGAAGTCAATGGAGAGAGAAAGATTATCTTTCGATCCCGTTTGAATTGTGCCATGAATTACACATATGATGTTTGTCAATTTAAAAGATAATTTTACAAGTCAAAAAAATAAAAATGTGTCGTAAAACTGTGAAGTAACACTTTTTTTTGTGGAACCGCTCAATGAACTACATCTCCCGTCTCGCACCACACACCAACACGGCCGTCAAGTTGGCACATTTCACTTCTTTCTTTCAGAATGAAGCGAAAAGTATTAAAAGAGGTGAAAATCACTACAAGTCTGGGCATGTTGAGAGCTGTACATACACATAAGGGGAGTTAGTCGGTTCCGTAAGAGCCAGCATGCGGGACCGGGAATCTGGGATTTGTAGTCTTTCTAGTTGCATATTTTTCATAGTCTTATATTTCAACAGTTTTACGACAAACTGTGAATTTTTTGAAATGGAAATTATTATTTAAGATTGACAAACATCATATGTGTAATTCGTGGCACAATTCAAACGGGATCGAAAGATAATCTTTCTCTCTCCATTGACTTCAATACAAACTTTTTCCGAAATAAGGTCCCATGAGTCCCACCGGAAGGGGAGGGACTTCGCCTCTCTATACACACACAAGGGATATTTGGCAAACATACCAGTTAATCACACACATTATAGTCTGAAAATGTGTATGTTTGGGGACTTAATATGTAGCTTTGATCACATTGATCAAGTAGTAAAGAGTAACATTTCCCAAGAGTAGGAAAACATATTTGCAATGCAATTTAAAATAGTCCTTAAGACATTCCCTGTAGTGCATGTGCTGTATTATTACTCAGTCCATTAGTAGAAAAAGAAAAAGATATATGAACACATCAGTAGCAGTAAACCAGGTTTCTCTTTGACCTTAATGTGTGGTGGGTGATTGTGAGGACTCTTGCTCAGTATGATGAAAGTCTGTGTTCACCTCGTACAGTTTATTCCACCCGTGCATGTCCTCGCTGCCTTCCTCAAATCCACCGTTAATCCAAGAACTTGCGGTTTGGATTGGCGCCAAATAACTTCACTCTGATTTCAGGCATCATCTGTTAGGTGTTAAGTGAGGACACAAATAAGTAAACACGAGAAACTAGAAGAGGAAATATGGATACATTTGTAAAAAAAACATGACAATCACCGAAAATAACTATATCATATTGGTAATTTCCTAAAAGACAAACATTTTGCCGATTGAAACGTGTTCTCTCTATGGGAGTTGTGCTGAGGGAAGCACACAAACAAAAATAACACTATCACCTTTTTTATAAACTACTTTTATAAAATGTCTGTATGAGGGTTGAGTCATGTGATACATATTTGTTTTTAATTTGTGCAGACAAAAGGAAGTCTGTTAAAGGGGACCTATTGTGCTTTTTGGGGCGTTTTTCTTTCCTGTAGTGTGTTGAATAGGTTTGTGTGTAATGCTCTACAAAAGGCTAAAATCCCAAAGTTCCCTCCAGTGGGAGTTTCTCTCCCTGAAACTCCCACCCTGCCTGAAACGCCTCCATTGGACTCCTTTGTTTACATCCGTGACATAGTGACATCACTATTTAACACTGCACTTGGCTTAATCTCCAACACATTGTACGTGATAAGGGTGGGATATCTCTAAGCAGTTGACCAATCACAACAGATAACCAATCAGAGCAGACTGGGCTCTGGTTTCAGACAGAAGGTGAAAAGAGGCAGTATGAGAAAAATAAAGACCTTTTTGAACATTAAAGCATGTCACAGTAGAGGCACAAAAAATATGAAACCTGAAAATGAGCATAAAAAGGCCCCTTATATTATTAACCTATACAATTACTTTTAACAGGATGCAGTGTGTAGGTAGGGACGTGTGTTCTCAGAGTTATAATTGGAAAATAGCATAGCTCAATAAAGTTTCAATAACTGATCGAAATGAATCTACTTGCCTTCAAAACAATCCAAGCAAAAAGAAGGATCAGTGTTTCCCCATGCTTAAAAAGACTGCTCAATAAAGTAACTCCAAAATAAAGTATAGGAATGTGCTGCCCTCCAGAGGCAAACAGCAGAAACTACATTTAAAATGTGTTAAAGGTCCCATGTCATGCTTTTCCGGTCCCATGGACCAATCCGTGGAGCTCCTCACACACACACACACACTCAGCGGCGAAACTGTGACGCGCTGGGGGGGGGGGGGCCTCGCAGCAGCGAAACTGTGGCGCGCTTACACTGTAGGTGCGCCACGTTTTGGGGCGCGTCTATTCGCACTGTCTCGCAGACCCCACGCAGCAAGCAGGAAATTAACCCAGCTCACACTGTCAGTCACGGGCCCTTAGAATCGTCCTAACTTTTCACCCCCTTACGGCGCCCCTGGGCAGGAGCTCCAACAAGCCGTTCAGGACAGAGAGTGAATACACATACTATACAGAGATGCTGTATGAGAAACCAATGTGAGTTTGGAAAATTGCACAATGTAAATCTATTCTAGTATACCTCAACAATGGAATTATGATCAGTAGAAATGGCCATGACATGGGACCTTTAAAGGTTTGTGTATAAAGATGTAATCAAATATGCTCTACCTGTTGTGCAATGAGTTCCAGCCTGTTCTCCAAGGTGTTGGAAACCTTGATCTTCCCATTATCGTTATACACCTCAACCCCTCCGCAGCTGTTAGAACAAAGAGTAGACACAAATATTAACAGCAAGCATAGCTTAAAAAGCTTTTTCTTGACACATTGAATCATAGTCATCATACAAAAAGTATTCTGGAAAAAACATTCAATAGAGTTGATGGTAAAATCATCTCACATGTTTGACGAAAGAAAGCGCACTGTGTCGATTTTTACGACTATGTTGATCTTCACTGCCTCTCTGTAGATGGGGATGTTCTTATTAACTGCCTCCTGTCGAAACATTTAAACATAAAATTGTAAAACAGCGCTAGCGACTATCATGAATGTGACAAAAGATGCAAAGGTAGTTGTAATAACCTTGGCTTTTTCAAACAACTTGGTACAATATTCACCACATGGCACACTATAGTCACCTGAACCATTTCTACGTCCTGCTCTCGGCAGCGGACGGTCACTTTAGGTTCCAGTAGCTGAAAGAATCCCTATAAAATGTAAAAGAAAAGGCTCAGAAAACAAACCGCTAAGTTGTTGACTCACCTGTGTCCTCCCAACAGGAGAGTAGTTTGGGATTTTACCTGAAGCAACATGCCCTGCAATAGGACGGAGTAATTCTCCGGGTCCTTGGCAATCTCTGCAAGTCTTTGACGAGCATCATTCTGTAAATCCTGAGACAAGAAGACAGGAACAAAAACGTTTCCTGATTCATTTAGATTTTGGAGTCACACTGCTCATCAACCCTCTTATTTTAAGATGGCATATAAGGACCAATGTTGGTAAATAATATAATTATTTAAATAATATTATCTGGATATTCTCTGCAATCAGATTGCTTCATTTACGAGAATGACAAAAACAAGAAAATTCTAAAATTCTCTAAGAATAAAAACAACATTTGAAGAGAAAAATATATATTTTGTCAAGGAACCTCTTAGTTTGACTTTGCAAAGTTGGTTTTACCTCATCACATGAGGACAAAACATAAGCACTCATGCACCTTATCATATGTGTTTTTGTATTCATCTATCAATATACTGAATGTAAATGTGAGAAAGTTATGTGTCAGTTGTGTAACATGAACTGTGTAAAATATTCATATTGATTTTACCGTGATCATGTCGTCCCGAGCCTTCAGCACCTTAAGCCTTGCTTGGTTCAACAGGTTGGACATCTGTCTGTGGGAGTGAAAGGAAAGGTCAAGGAGTATTTTATCTGCAGACATGAACATGAAATGCTGCACGCCTTTAATCCAGATGTTCAGAGAGATACCCAGTCGTCACATTGCATTGATTAAAAAACGCCCTTGCCGGCACAATTGGATTTTACACTGCAGATATGGTGATGTTCATGCTCTTATGGAGATTTAGTTACAAATATGTAGCCAAACTAAACTGTAATGAGATTCCATGAATTTATCAAACAACAACATAATAGAGCAAAGAGAACAAATATATATTCATCTGGTGAGAACTGATTTGTTGACACAGTCGTTATGTTAGTTCAGATATGTAAAATGTCTGACAGTTAAAAATCAAAGATGTCGGACTTGAGGTCTATCTCTTTGACATTAAGTTTTTCTTTTTCTAAAACCTTAACTGTAACTACATTTTTCAAGTAAAAAATGGTGAAAAGGGTCAATGGATAAATTCGATTTTCTCTGCTAAGGGTTTACTCAAACACCTTGGTCAATTAAGTTATCTTTCAAACTGACTACAAATGATGGAAAACTCACATTTTCTTATGTTGTTCAATCTGCTTATCCTTTTTCTCATAGTATTCCATGATTTTCACCCTCTGAGTCTGCACCAGACGCCCTTTCTCGATGTTGAACTCTTCCTCTGCCTGTAAACAGATGGGTATGACAAGACCAGTGACTGTGATCCCTGCAGCAAACATTACAGACAGACAGACAGACAGACAGACAGACAGACAGACAGACAGACTTACCTTAGAATCAATTTCATCAACTTTCTCATTGGCCTCCTGCTCAATGAAGCCCATCATGTGCTTGATCTGCAAAAACAAATTAGTCTGTTAAAATGTTGAAGTCACAACAAGTGTATGTCAACCTTATAAATGCAAGTACATACCAAGCAAAAACCCAATACTTACTTAAACACATACTTTAAATAATGTTAGCACTACAATATTAACCCTAATATATGAAACGGAACATTACCATTATTTGTTTTGCTTTTTTTTTTACAACAGTTAACACTTTTAAATAACCCATACTTTACTAAATAAAGTGTCACGTAAAGAAGTTTAGTAACAACCTCATAAGTTAACGACAGTTAGCTTGTGCATAATGATTTAGCAACTGACGCTAGTTTTAGCCCGTTAGCAAGTGTTAATGTTTGTCATGTTAAGCTACAGCTAGCTTAATTTATAACTTCGTCACTGGGATAAATAGTTTTAAACTTGACAGTTCAGAGTCAAAATTGTCTACTTTACCTGTTTCTGTACGTCAGCATCGGTGAGCGCCATGACTGGTCTTTAATATGTTATTATTTTATTTAACGTTTGTCAAAAAAGGGCAAAAAGTATTCCCTAACACTTGTACGGTGCAGATAAACACTGACAGTTGGTAGAAAACACTTTCCTTTTCTTGTTGCATTCATCCGTCGAGCTAGGGTTAAAGACAAGAAACAACATCCGGTCATAAGTTTCAAAATAATACACTTATTCAAGATAGGGGCGCCACTCCCCTCTCAATTTTTATAACAAAAATAGAGAATGACTCACGAAATACTATTGAGATATTTATTTTAACAATGCTAATATTAAAGATGTTATGCAAGGGATCGTCTGCACTCTTTCTGGCAGTTTTTCTAAATATATAATTGCAAGATCCCATACGTAATATATTGTATGGTATTTTAAATTGTTCAGGTTGGGCGTCGCAGCCATTATATGAGGGTGGGACAAGTCCCCCCCACCTTTTCAAATTATTAGTTTAGACCCCCACACTTTTACCATGTGGAAAGTCCGTGCATCGGTCTCTATCCTATGGTCTATCCACTCGCCGCTCTTTGTAGAGTGCTGTGTCAGTGCTTCACTATCAAATCCATTCCACTTGCTTATTGAGAGAATGCCCAAATCAATGAAACTCCGTACCATGTTTTCACTGCTACTTTGTACCAAGGCAGATTCTCACATAGCGCGCGCATTTTTCAAGGAGTGTTGCCATAGTTACGGTGGACAGCTCAGATCTGTTGTATGAACTGAAGCGATGCCGGTTGCGGAGGTAAAGCACACACACCAAATGTTCAGGACATTGTTAATACAGCGAAAATCAAACTTGACGATCTCTTGGTTTGATATGTTTTCTCCCCCAGACAACATGGACTTAAGAAATTTCTTTTCAAAGAAGAGGAAAGTAAGTCATCAGCTGGTAGCAGTTAATCAGTTAACAGTGATGGCGGCAAAAGCGTCTCACTTCTGGAGCGGAGTTTCGTCTTTACAGTATGTCATGATCGAGATACAAATACTGAATAGTTTAGATGAGAAAAGGCATCGAAATGCCAGGTTACTAGTATTTATCATGTAAACAGGGAACATGAATAACCCGAACTCTCTGTGCTCATGTAAACACCATATCCCCAATATGATCATAACCAGGATAATGGATAATACTCATAAACGGCCTACTGATGTCCATGTAGATGCAGTCAGTGTGTTTTACTTGACTGGAGCCTCAGTTCGATAAGAGATTATTTTCTGAGTTCTTTAACTACTCTCTCTCAAAATGGTAATGTACATTATGTTTTAATTATACTTCTTATCATTCAGAAGCTTTTTGTGTGTGTTTATGTTTTACTGAGTGCTTATAGGCAATTTCCATCCCAGTATTCAGTTAACTATTTATTTTCTGTGCACATTATATAGACTAGCTAATATTCTACCTACTGCTTGGGACTTTGAGTCTTCAAAATGTCCAATGTCACAGACTGGGACTTACTTTAGAGTCAGTTGTATTTACATTCAGTATGACTTGTTATGATTCAATGTGAAAGAGTATAGGCTACTGCTCAATAAATAATTATCACTTCACCACCTCTCTTGACATCTAGGCGCTTGAGAGTGAGTCAGAGGCAGAATGCAGTGACAGTGGAGAGAGGTCCATTGCTGAGGTGAGTGATGAAAGGGATATGACAGTTTAGAGTAAATTGTGATGTGGACTCTCATCCCAGAATTTTAAGGAAATCAGTGGGGATATTGAACAGGAAACATTTCAGTCAAGGGCCATCATATGACCAATATAGACAGAAGAGCAACATTTATTTGAACATTTAAGTCAATGATACCATTAGGTGAATTTAACATCCTTATGGAGTCAGATCAGTCTCAATATTAATAAATGCTCACAGAAGGATTCACAAATGTATTTTGCGATTTATATATAAATGACTCTCCACAACAATATCTCTCAATGCACTCACAAATATTTATTGTTGTATATAAATGTACAAAAAATGGGCATTTAAACTGCTGTTCTTGTGAACCTCTGCATTTTGTTTTTTTGAGACTTCCCTGACGGAAATGACAAATGCATTTTTTTTTAACAGGAAACTATGGAAATTATAACTAATTGTGGTTTTCTTTTACATTACTTAAAACAAGAAATATTTATATGTCAGAAAAATGCCTATATTTGTGAAACTCTTTTTTATCTGTGGATTTTTTTACATTTATATACAACAATAAATATTTTTGTGTGCATTGAAAAATATTTTTGTGGAGAGAGTCATTTATATATAAATCCGAAATACATTTGTGAATCCTTGTGTGCATTTACTAATATTGAGACTGATCTGACTCCATACATCCTAGGCTATGCTCACTTTCAAACTGTAAATCCACAATGCACCCTCAAATCATTGTCATTTATTTACACACAATGGCAGAGAGTGTAGTCAAGTGCTTTGAAACACAGCCCGGCGTCAACATATGATACACAATGCAAATATTATGTTTTAGAAATGACGGAAATCTTACACAGGGGATCCTTAATATTACGTTTTTGGCAGTATAAAAAATGTGTGGCCTATTACATTTTTCCCTTTTGTTTGTAGGAAGAGAAGGCAAGATTAGACTGGGAGGAGAGTGAGAGCCATGAGAGGGACGAGAGTGAGGGACGAGAGTGAGAGCCAGTTTGAGAGGGACGAGAGTGAGAGCCAGGCTGAGGTATATAGCAAGCCAAATCATCCTGACCCAAGAGTCATTCCACCCCAGCAACTTCCAAATAAGACGCTAAGATTTCAGGAGAAGTGGTTCAGGGACTTTCCGTGGCTTCATTATTCTCCTAGTGAGAATGGCGTATTCTGCTATTATTGCATGGAAGCCTTCAAAAGACAGAGTAGCACACTTGCAAAAAATATGGATCAAGCCTTTGTGTCCGCTGGTTTTCGAAACTGGATAAGAGCAATTGAGAAATGTTCAACCCACCAACTGAGTCAAGCACACAAAGTTGCAATCACAACACACACATACCAACAACGAAGTGTTGAAACTCAGCTGTCCACAGCCAAGGAACAGCAGCAAAGAGAGGCGAGATCATGTCTGCTCAAAATAGTTCAGTCAATTCGCTTTCTTGCTCGTCAGGGTCTAGCTCTGCGTGGCCATGACAGTGATGAAGGCAACCTAAGGCAGCTTCTGCAACTCAGATCAGGGGGTGATGATGTGCTGAAGAGATGGCTGAGTAAGCCCTCAAACAATTACACAAGTGCTGTAATTCAAAATGAGGTTTTGAATATCATGGCCAACTCCATTGTTAGGAGAATTACAAATACAGTACAGGGGTTGCCCGCACTTCAGTACTCCATTATTATTGATGGAACTCAGGATGTTTCGGGAGTTGAACAAGAGGCCATATGTATCCGTTATGTGGATCATGACCTTATCCCTCATGAAGACTTTGTAGGTCTATATGATGTGTCTTCAACGACAGGGAAGAATTTGGCTAAGGTGGCAACTGATGTTCTCCTGCGGTTGAACTTGCCCTTGTCCTGTCTTCGAGGGCAGACCTACGATGGAGCTGAAAACATGTCCGGCGAAAGCAAAGGAGTTCAAGCAGTTCTCAGAGAGAAGCAACCTCTTGCTTTGTATGTCCATTGTGGTCCTCATTGTGTCAACCTTGTGACTCAGACAGCCTGTAGCTCATCCCCTGTTGTGTCTGATGCACTGAATTTGGTCCACAAACTTGGCACTCTCTACCACTAGTCTGGAAAATATAAGACTATATTTAAAGAGATTGCCCAGTCTGAAGCAGGGAGTTTCATAACTCTAAAGCCCCTCTGCCCTACACGATGGCTTGTGAGGCTAGTGGCCATTCAGGCAGTTGTAGGACAGTATGAAAAGGTATTGCTCAGTCTGGAGGAAATGGCTGCATCTGGCTCCTCTGACACGTGCACAACCGCAAGAGGACTCCTGGAACGCTTTCAGAAGGGGCACACTTTGCTCTGCCTTCTTCTTGCCTCTGAAGCCCTTAAAGAACTAGAGTGCCTCAACCGCTCCCTTCAGAGTAAAACTGGAAGCGTCACAGGGATGCTGGCTGCAGTTGATTGCGTGAAAAAAACACTTAGAGTGAAGAGGTCTGATGAAAGCTTCCATCAGATGTATGCAAGGGCCTGTGACATGATCAGTGAAATGGGCATTGAGACCATCCAGATGCCTCACATCCGGAGACCTCCTAAGCGTTACACAGGAAATGCAGCAGCGTTCACACCAGCATCAACTGAAGAGCACTATAGAATCGAATTCTTCAAAGTGCTAGATGCTGTTGATGTACAGTTGACCAAGCTCTTTGACCAGAGCAGCTTTGATACTCTTAACAAGTTGGAAAGGGTGCTAGTCTCTGGAAAGGTTGAAGAGGTTGTCAGTCTTTACCCAGAACTGAATCGCAATTCACTGGAGGTGCAGCTGGCAATGTTTAAGCTTCAATATCCATCCAGCACCATCACTGACGCAGTAAACACTCTCAAAGCTATGCTGCCAGAAGTCCGTGCTCTCTTTACCCGAGTAGAGTCTTTGGTTAGACTTCTTCTTGTAGTGCCATGCTCCTCAGCCGAAGCAGAACGAAGTTTTAGTGCCTTAAGAAGGCTTAAGACATGGCTCCGCTCCTCCATGAGTCAACGTCGTTTGTAATGGTTTGGTCCCGCCTCCAAACGCGGTGAGGCACCGCCGGCACTTTCTACAGAGAGTGAGAGCATGTTAAGGCCCTGACACACCAGGCCGATATCGGCCGTCTTCGGTTGTCTGGCAACAAAGCGTGCCCTGTCGCCCAAAGTCAATTTGGTGTGTCCCGAACCCTCGGCCGTGACACGCCTTATTTGGCCTTTCACGGTCGACCATTTGTCGGACACAAGCTATCGGGCCAAGAAACCACTCTGATCAGCTGTTCAGCTAGCAAATGAGAAGTGAAACGGAAGTGAGGGACGTAAACAAACGATTTAAGAAGGCACAGGACAGCAGCTAAACCCCAGCAGGTGATACTTAAAAAACATCAAACATAGCCCTTAAATGTCCTCTCTTACCTCCCACACATAGCAGGGACATCTCTGATATCGGCGGGAGCGTCCCTGGCTGTCCTCTGCTGAGAGCTCCGTGATTTGTTTGGTCAAG